GTACACAGTTTACAGTCTATTGGACCTTGTCATTTGTTATGTCTTTGGGATTTTGGCCATCATGCTCCCCAGTGATCTAAGGAAATTTGATTTGCAATTTCTCCCCCCATAATGCCCATGCATCATTGACACTTCCTGAGACTATATAAAGGGCCCCTTATTAGACCACCCATGTAGTCCCCTTTCTCCAAGTGATCACTCAGCTTTTGCACTGCCCAAACTTACCAACCTATTACCTGATAAACCTACAAGCCATCCATCATCCCAAATTTCCATCCCATCATCCAACATAACAATATGCAACAACCAACCTCTTCTCCTGTCAACACTCACCCACCTTCCTCCCAACACCAATGTTTAAAAGATGGCTGCATGGAAGTGTTTGCTAATTTTGGGGAGCTTAGGAAACACATCCGAAACGTACACCAACACTCGGCTACTTGCATGACTCATTCGAAGAAACAGGTCACCATCTTTCGGTCCTCTGAAGGGAAGTTTGGCTGCCCAAACAAGGGGTGTGATTACACTGCGGGCCCACCCATCAATATCCAGAACCACCTCAAGTTGTGTGATCCAGAGGCCTTGAATCCTCCTAGGGCTATGCCCATCCCACCAACCGGGAGTGTAACTGTGGTGCCCCTTGGTGACCAAGTCATGGGTGAGTTTGCTTCAATCAAATGGTGTAGATATGTTATTAATCCACAGCTATTAATTATCTGTTTGGTCGGTTACACATTTTTAATCAGCTATACCTGACTGCCCTCACTTGGCATACAATAACTATGCCAAGACACTCATTTGTGTGACTTGCCATGAAGGTATACCTACTAGTAATGTGCATGGACACATGTTGAGTTCTCACAAGCTCAAGGTTGCCAAAGCTGAAATCATCGACAAGTTTCTGGCTTACGGGATCAAGCTGCCAGAAGATAACATTAAATATCCGCCCCGCAAGAACCGTGTGGATCCGTGTATCCCTGTTCAAGGTTTGTACATGTATCTTGGTTACACTTGTACTGCCTTGTACCATGGAAAGCCATGTGGTCTTTCTGGATGCAAAGAAAAGACTCTTTCTAACCACTTGCGTGAACAACACCAGGGTATGTTGCTCACTCTGCCATGATGAACTCTGCCAAGACTTGTTGCAGCTGAAGGTGTCTGATTTTTTTTCTTGCCTGCTTCTCTAGTTTCTGGAAGTGGTTGGAAGGACTACTGTGAAACCCGATTTGTTCAGCATCTCCGCACCGACCATATCAAGTTCTTCTCTGTTCTTTATCGTCAACCTTCACCTGAAATCATCTGCTTGTCTCATCTTGGTTCTGGAAACGAGATCCAAGCTGAAGGCTCGATTCTGTGGGATAAGCTTTCCCAAGAACTCTCTGTGCTTGATGTGCTTGGGGTAAAGACCCGTTCTGGAATGAAGAAGGACCATGCTTCTCTAGTAACCGCCTACCTGAAATCTTCCGGGATTTATGAACACATTGAATTGTGCAAGGAACTTGTTGGTTGTGCAGACTCAGCAGATCTGTACAAGGAAATCGATGTTTCCCAAAAATCAGCTGCCCTTGTCCCCTTTGTCGATGCATGGATGGCCTGTCGGATGTCTAAGATTGACGATACCCACTTTGGACTTCGCAAGCTTGCTATCAAAGAATCAATGTATGTGTTTGGTCCTTTCCTGCACTTGAAATTTTGTCATTTGCTATTCTGACTGGGGCCCCATGCACTTTTTTTTCTATTTGATGGCCTTGGGGTTTTGTATGGAGTAGTGACAAAGAATCACCCACTGTTGGTGTTGGCTCATTGCAACAGAAATATACGCGCCTCAGATATGCGAAAATCATATCATCTCTCATTGCATTTACCCAACAATGTGGATCGTCCAAGTCGAAATTGATATCTTTTTGGTCACCAAAGCAAGCTCCCCTCTCACAAAGCCTTGACTCTCTAGCTACATGCCTCTCGGGTGAAAACCCGATCCCGGACGACTACTATAGACTTCTGGATGAAGTGATGTTCAACTTCATCAGCTTTTCGTGCTCAATGTCAATACAATCTCGTATCCAATCTGCACTAGAGCAGTTTGTTTCTCTTGCTATGCTCAATGAGGACGGCTCCTGTATGCCACCACTTCATTTGTGTCATACAATTGCCGGTTTGCAATATGGAATCCGCCTGGGGGTTATGTATCACTGGCTTGCGGTGTCAAGATCAATTGTATCGGCCAACGACCTCTCAAATGACGATGAGGTGACTGCGATGGAGAATCACTTTGGTTGGATCACTCACGATAAGTGGTTTTCCCCATTCCAGTCTCTTAGGGATTGGATGCGGCTAGCCTCTTCTGCTGTACTGAACCAGCAACAACCTAATGCAACCCGTTGGGAAGATCTGGGAATGACCAAGCTTGTCATTGGTTCAACTGCCGTTCACCTCACTGGTATCCGAACAGCATTGCGGGCGGCCCTAACTCTCTTGCGAACGTTGATGCAATCTATCTTGAAAGGTTGTAGCCTCCCGGATTGCCTTGTATCTACTCTTGAGGACAAATCGGAAAATCTATCCACTGGATACAACTATATGGAAGAAAAGAAATCGAAAGCAGTTCTTAATGATAGGATGAAGATTCTCAGAGACTGGATGCATAATGGGAACCCTCACTCAGTTCTGGCTGGCAATTGGCAGGAATGTTTGATGGCACCTGGCTTGGCTCTACCGGATTTGATTGCACCTTGGGCGGCGTGGAAATGGTTGGAAATGGTAGACCAGGTGGTTGAGATCATTTACTTTTTGTACCATGTTGGGTGTGGTCAACCGGCAAGGGGAACAGAAGAATCTTGCATGCTTATTCGTAACTCAGACACGGCTCCACGCAACATCTACTGGCGAGGAACGCAAATGATGTTCCAGACGTGGTATCACAAAGGGCAAAACATCTCCCAACGCTCCAAACCGAGGCAAGTCTATCTGACCGGGGAGTTGTCAATGCACCTCCACACCTACTTGGCATTTATCCGACCCACCCAAATGTAAGTGGGGTTTCTTGAGGGTCACTTGGGATTACCATAGTTAATTTTTGTTGGCTGGTTTACAGGTTTTTACTCCGTGGTTTAGGAGAAAAAACAAATGCAATTGATATGCAGGAGTTCTTGTGGATGGGTTCACGGATCGGACGTTTGGAAACACCCGATTTCAGCCGGATATTGAAAAAATACTTCTTGCACGGTGGGTGTGAAGGTGTAGGGATTCGAGTCTGGCGCCAAGCTGCCGTCAGCATTGCAGCTGCACATCTCTCCAAGAAGATTCCTGCAATGCTCTTGCCAAATTCTGAGTCACTTCAAGAAGACCTAGCCGAGGACCTGGGTTTGCAAACGGTCATGGACCTCCAGCGAAACCACTCCACAACTACTGCCAATCACCTATATGGATATAGTAGTGGATCTGGTGTTATGCGGGATGAAGAACTGAACTTCAAGTTGGCTAGTCAGGTCTGGCAAGCATTTTGGGGTGTAAGTGACCTTCCATTTGCCTGTCATCAAATTAATACACAAACTGATGGTTCCTTCACTGGTAGATTGAGTCTCTTTGGGCATCCAAACAGCCTCCTTTACCGGTTCCTGACACCCTTCCACCTGGCGAGAAGGCCCGACAAGCATTGACAATCTTTACTAGGAATCCGAATGCTCTGTTCCGATCTGAATTCCAACACCTTTGGCTCACGGAACTCTTCCGGTCTGATCTAGAAGATATGTTGGTGGTGGCTAAAACTGGAGGGGGTAAATCCTTGGCATACTGTTTGCCACCACTGGTCCTCCCACACGAGCGACTCGTGTTGATCCAACCTCTCAAAGCACTAGTCTCACAATCCATGAAGCAGCTGGAACAACTGGATGGAGTGAAGAGCCAGCTCTACACCCCCCACACACCCATTGATGAAACCGCACAAGTAATTCTGGCCCTGGCTGATCATGCTTGCAAAATTGACTTTCACATGCAATTGCGGATAAAACAACCAACTCGGATTATCATTGATGAGGTCCATACTTTCATGGAGGATAAGTTTAGGTCTTATATACCAGGGATTGTATCTCTTGGTCAACTGAGCACACAGATGGTCTTGATGACGGGTTCCCTTCCACCTAGCCAAGAATCTGAACTGCTCCACACGATTCTTAGTCGCACCCGCCTGACAACCAAACGTGAGATCACCTTCCGTCCTGAATTGCAAATCGATGTTCAACCAAAGTATGCAAGTACAGCCAATCTAGTACCAATCCTTCAAGGGCTCACCCAATCCCACATCCTCAAGAAGAAGGACCGTGCAATGATCTTCATTGAACATCGGGAATCTGTTGCCCTAATCGCTCAAGCTGTTGGTGGCCTGATGCATCACTCTGGAATGTCTGACGAGGAACAATCCCAGAGTGCAAGCAAGTGGCTCAAACGAGACCATGGAATAATGGTTGCCACCAGTGGATTTGGAGCGGGGATTGATTATCCTCACGTGCGGCTGGTTGTGATCTGGGGCTTACCAAGTGCAAAGGAGGCAAACAAGACTTATCAGGAGATTGGACGTGCGGGAAGAGACGGAAAGCAAGCCAGAATTGTATTGATTCCTAGGTTTGGTGATGTGCCCTCGGGCCGCTTGCCTAATTTTGGTGTTGATGATTTCAAAAGGTCTTTGTTAAATCCAGCTGCATGTGCCGCCCAAGTATTTGCAAGATTGCAAGACTCAATTCCTCACTCTTGTCGTAATTACGAAGGCTTCAATCGGTGTGGTCCTTGCGCCAAAATGGATTCCAACCAAGGGAAACGAGCATACTATGAACTGGATCAACGGCACCAGATTAAATGTCAGACCGTCGCTACACAGGCAGTTTCTCAGACGCCCTCAGGCTCCACTGTGTCTTTGATCAATACCTCTATTGTTGAACCACTTCATGATCCACTACCTCAGTTCTTATTCAAACCAATTCAAGAAAAGTTCGAACAACATCTCAGCTTCGAAACACCATCTCAGCTAGTCTTACAAAATGATCCCCATAAGGAATGTGAGACCACTCCTGTGAATTCCGCTTCCAGAGTTTGTCATGCAACTGTTTTGGGTTCAATAGACGTTGGAGTCACTGAACAAACTCCTGCGCGTTGGAATAAGCAAGTCCCTTTACCTCAAGACATATCAGAGTTGCGAGTACCAATTCCAACAACATGCCTGGGGAAACGCACATCTGGGAACGCCGTTGTCGACATTGTCAACACAGTCGAGCAATCAATGATCCTTGAACCATTGGAGCGCATCAAAAGAGCACGGGTGGCTGAGCACACACGGCTGGCTGCTGAAGAAAATCCTGTAAACCGGCCTGAACAGCCTCGCTCAATTAACCAAGTGGACCATCTACGAGCCCAAGGCGGTGAGGCAACTGTCCAGCATGAGGGCATACAGCTGCTTGAATTTGTCCGGAAGATCAAGGGAAATTGCATTGAATGCTTCTTGCGGACTCGCACTTATGTCCCAGAACATAAGAAGTGTTCTTTTACAAATTCTAAGTGCTTGAGGTGCAGAGAATGTGCGTATCCCTCTGACTGGTGTTACTTTGTGCTCTGGGACTGATTGGATGGTTGTTATGAACAGCACAAGGGTGGAATTCAGGTCACACTGTCAGATTGTGCCCCGCGGCTCGTTTCTCCACAGCTCTGATGGAAGGCTCCCGGGGAAACTCCTACACGATATGCAACCGATGTGCATTGCCATCGGGAACACAAGACCGGATTCGCTTCCATGAGAACAACAAGTTTGCCGCTGAATGCAATACAGGTTTTGCAAACATGGCTGAAGCAGTGGGATGGTTTGTATACCGGGAGAAAAAGGAGGTCTTGGCTGGATCCTTTGATGGAATTGGAGACCTCGATGTGCAAAAGTACGCAAAATGGTTAGGTGTAACAAACAAAGCCCATGGCCCGGGCCCTTGGCCCAATGCCATCAAGTTGGTTTTGGCTTTCTTGAGATTTGAAGACTAGCACTTGGAATTATTTGCCTCCCATTTTAGTTTCTCAATACACTTTTTTTGGTTGGCATCTCCCCCATTTTTTTCCCTCTGGCCCACAAAGTAACAATGCAGATACCATTGATGATGATCTCTGCTTGTTTATTTTGCTTTGTTTGACCTGCTAGAATCTCCTTCTATAATTTGAAAGTAAAAAGAATGATTATATACACCAATTTATGGAACAAAAGTAAAATTCAAATCAAAGAAAGAAAGGAAGAGCAAATTAAGAATTGATCTAAGAAAACATGAAAGCCATCAGGAAAAAGAATGGTTATTGCCGGCCCTGGTCTTTTATGTGACCAGGATTTAATGGGATATAGTGTCACACTATATCCAAAAGAGGGGCCAGTGAAAAACAAGCCTTCCTCAACACTTGTAAAGTGGAGGGGATAAAATCAGGGACAACTGTGGAATGAGCTTCACAGTCCTGTAGCTGTAATCATGGAAGAGGAATAGAGTTGTAATAAATAGCCTCAAGACAGAGGAATGTGTAATAATTCATGTAGCAATAGCCCAATGTAAAATCCCCACTCACCATTTATTATAATAATATTTAGCAAGGTACTAGGGTTTATAGGGTAATACTGTCTGGGGGTTGAACCTCAGAGAAAGAGTCATTGCCTTAAATAACACAGAGCAGGGGTCAAACTGCTGCGGCAACCGGGGCAGTGCCCTTATTGTTAAAACACTATTCCTTGGGGGATAGTGTCAGGATACCAAGACTGAAGAGCTGGGCTTTTTCCCCAACAAATATGCACAAGGCTTTACAACCCTGGATACTGATATAAAGTTCCCAGATTTGCAGCCCAATCAACCACTCTACCAATCTGGATGGTGATTGAATTTCACAAGATGGAAACAGGTGAGGTATTGCTACCCAAATGGTTCTCCTTGGAGGGACTTAAGAAGGCTAGACAAATGGAAAGAAATTCTTTGCTGCTTTCACCCTTGCCATTCTACTGGTCTGAAATGTCCTAACTTTTTCAATCCTTATTGGTCTACCTGTCCAGTATATGTGGATGAAGCCCTGTAGGGAAAGATAACTTGTATTGGTTGGTTGATTGGTTGGTTGGGAGTTCATTTGATCTGAGACTGATCCATGAATCTTTGAATAGTTTCTGTTTAAATTCTTATCATGGCTGTTCATCTGTATATAGATTCCTTAATAACCCGTCAAAATCTCAGCTTTGGTCATTGAAGAATTCAAAATCAAATTCCCAGGCTGAGGCCAAATAGTCAGTAAGATGTGATACCACAGGGTTAGGGGTTAGGTAACAATGGAATGAGTTTGGCAAATTGGGTTCTGATTTTTAACTCAGCTATGTTTCAAACCTAGCCTAACCTTTAAACCTCACCCACAAGTTAACCAGGGGGCTTTCCAACAAAATAGAATTGATTTACATATAAAACCCTGCACTGTTTCCTTATTTTTTATTTATTATTCCACCTTACTCTACAGGTTCACAAACCAATGTAAGCCTGCATCCACCCCTTGAGACCAAATGAATCTTATGTGTTAGCAATTGCTGAATCATCTAATGCCTCATGTTATTTACTCCCTCACTGACCACCATAGATGACACACTCAAATTACCAGATGGTCCAGAAGAGATTACTGATATCTAGGCAACTGGCCCAAACCCAAACATTTGGATTTATCCCAAACAACAACACATACAGTCTAGGTAAAAGCTTTCCAGATTCCCTGATTGAAGGGTGGTACCAGGAAAAGAAGTCAAAATTCCAATTCAGGTCATCATCAAGCTTCAAGATAACAACCTTGGAGAGATAATCCCACCACCCTGGTTTTCCTTGCCATACCTCATAAAGGTTCTGGATGAGGGAACACATGCATTCATTGTGCTTAATAGAGCTACCATTGCCCTTCTATTGACATGAGTTGTCCCTAATACTGATCAAGATGTTTGTCCTAAAAAGGAAAAAGCTAGAGGAATAGAAGCTAGTACAGATGGATACATCAAGCTCACCAGCACTCAGAAAAAGTTCAAGAGACAGAGGAGGAGAAGCAATGACACAAACCTGAAACCCAAAATTTGTGCCTTATTGCTTATGTGAGCAAACCACAAGTCAAGCATTTGCTTATGTGATCAAACCACAAGCCAAGCTTTTGCTTATGTGATCAAACCACAAGTACACCCAAGGGGCCCCAGGGGCTAATTTGGTATATAAGAGAGGGCCATTCCCTCCTCTTCCTCCCTCCAAACTATTGCTTCACCCTCATCACCCAGCCATCTCTACCTTCTCAAGAAGAGTAAATAAAGTAAGTACAAAAATCCCAGGTTGAAGATTCTATTCAACTCTATTCAGCCTTGAGATCTTGATATCTACAACTACTGGACCCTAACCCATATATTTATATTGTTTGAAGTAGTAATCCTACTATTAAGAGCACTTGATCATAGCAACATGAACCCAGACCACATGTTTTGTCATACAGTTGAGTTTCTTTGTTTCTCTCTCCCTCATCAACATTTTTCTTGGATATTTTATTAACAGTTTTTCTTGCCAGCTCACCTGCAAAAGATGTATAAGGGATGGAAACCCTTTGGAATGTAGGGTGGGGGATGGAAATAGGAAATGTACTAGGTGTGAAGATAAAGGTCATAGGTGTGAACTTCCTGATTGTAAGTAAATGCTAAATTTCTTCTGTCCTTCAAGGGGGTGACTAATCATTTTCTTGTCATTCATAAGGGTATAACTATGTATGGAATTTGCGAGCACAGTTGGCCGACCAACAACATCTAATTGATTCATTATATTCATCCCTAGGAAATTATTACAGAGAAATGATGACTCTTACAGAGAAAATTGAGGACCTAGATACTAAATTAAAGTCACACTCTGATGTAGCTTCTACTAACAGTTCAACTTCTAATTCATAAAATTATATTTATTAGTGGCTAGTGAAATTATATGGCCCACTACCACCCTAATCACCCATTACAAGGGTTACAAATGAGTGTTTATCCAGACATCTTTACACTTTGCATAAGAAGGGTTCACATGCGTCCGCTTGTTCATCTCGCATTTCGGAACTGTCATGAGGTGTACTCGCGGTAGCTGGCGTGTTCACGCGAGTGCCCGCGTGCTTAGGCCGACTGAAGTGAGGTTTGGGTCACGTGATTCTTTTCAAGGGAAAAGGAGATAGGAAGGGCTACCTAATTACAAAACTGGGAACATTGGAATGGGAGGGAAAAGGAGATAGGATGGGCCTGGTGACAAACTTCCGATGTCCTCTGCGCTATTCACTCCAATCACTAGAATCCCTACTTGGGTCCGTCCCACTGCTCTCGTCCTCACCTTTGCTGTCTCCACCACGGCCAGAAGTCTCAGATGTCCCCCTACCTTGATTGTTCTTTCCCTTCATAGACTGGTGGTCCTCATCCTCTTCCTCTTCTGTTTCGGTTTCTGCCCTCGGCGTTCGGATTTTCCCCGGAATCACGAAAGAGGCGGCAGAGGGGCCATGTGGACCCTTGGAGAGGGGGGAAGGGGGTTTGAATAAGGGGGCTGCTTTCGATGGTTGAGGTGGTGTCGAGTTTTGATCTTCATTATCCAACTCATCCCTAGCCAATTCATCCTCTATGTTCCTTTCGTGAGCTGCTATCATTGGCTCCCAAGCCGCTGTTAGAAGGCCCTTGAGGTTTTCCGCCATTTCTTTGTTTGGTCGACGAATTTTGACGTCTGGAGCTTCTTCCCCTTTGAAATTGTATGATTTCCTTGGTTGAACGGAGCACACTTCCACCATTATATCCTGAATCGCCAATCGTGAAATATTCTTCTCGTTGACATGTTCTGCCCAGAATCGAGGCGCCATTTCCCAATCAACCTCCGATGGGACGAGACAGTCCATCTTGGCCTCTCTCAGAAGCCAGCGGACGAAACTGTCGATTTGGTACCAGGGGGTGTCGTCTGTTCGGCGCTCTTTAACCTTTCGTTTCTCGTAAAGCCAATCATGCCTAGCGTGGGCGAGGTGTACCAAGGACCAAACATCCCTCTGGTTGAAATTGTGTGAGTCGGTGAGGCAGTGCCACCACCCAGCAGCGCCGTATAAGAAAAAGACCGCCATGGATCCAAAGGCCGAAAGTCGGATCTTTCCCCACTCCTTCATTTGTTTGGTCGAGTTAATGTCCTTCACGTCGCCTTCTTTGAATAGACTCCTATCCCTTTGATATGGGCTCATCTTCGCGGCGGCCTCAATGCTTTTGTCTGGAAATGTGTTCGTTTTGATACAGTCCTCCAAGTAGTCGACGAAGAACGAGTTTTGCATCATCAGACAGCACAATAATGTCTCCCAAATTCGTTTCTGTAAGACGACGAGCCCATTGGGGGTGCGGCCGTTGCCATTGTTGTTAGATTTCACGGTTTCGATCGCTTTGAGTGTCTTGATCCGGCCAATAACATACTTGCCGGCTTCGAAAAGCGTGTCTTGCTTCCAGTGGATGGGGTTTTTTTTGCTGACAATGGAGGGGGTGAGATAAAGAGGAAGATTATCTGAACAAGATTCGGATAGGGTATGGAGTTTTCGAAAGCCCGCCGACAGGAGAGGGTGGGTGTGGATGTCATTGGTGTAGTCATCTTTGGCGTCTGTTCTGATCATCATGCTGTAGACCGCCTTCCACGAGGAGCATTTGCTATTGGCTTTAGAGGTGCAGGCGTCCTGGATGAGTTTAAGGTTGATCACGTGCTCATGAAAAAACGGGTCCCCGGCGGCTACCTGCATCAGACGAGGATCTAAATTCCCATGCACACGTTAGGGTTATAATCCGCAAGAAATGTATGTATGTAAGTGGTGAAGGTCTGTTACTCACTCGATGTCAAACAGTCCCTGAACTCAGGTTCCCTAACTTTACTGATGGCCTCCAGCTCCTCCACAGTTGGACTAAACAATTCCGGTTTTTCATAGATCACATCCGGCATGGTGTCACCTGATGACCATCCTACCATGTCAGCCACGAGTTCCATCAGTTCCGGCCCATAATCCCATTGCGGATTTTTCGACATTTCGAGCATCCTGGTGTACTGGTTGTACATTTTTTGACAATCAGAAGCCTTCCAGATTTTGGACAACAAAGCTAACCAGTCGATTTAAGTAGTCAGTTTGAGGTCCTGTGGCCTAAAATTGGTGTCCAGGACTTACCTCCTGGGTTCGGTGGGTTATTGTATGGGCTGTTTTTCTTTTCTTGCTTTCTCCGTTCAGCCTCCTCTTTTCGTTTCGCCTTCTCCTCTTCAGTCATCTCCGCCGGTTTCTTCTTCTCTTTCTTCTTGCCCTTGGGGTTCGATTTCGGCTGGGATTTTGATTTGGTAGGGGGAGGTATTTCTTCGTCTTCTGCTTCGGAAAGCTCTGATGGGTCTGGTGTTGGGCTTGATCGTCCCTTGCGGCGATTGGTTGCTGTACCCTCGTTGGTCGCCGCTGGACGATGGGCAGATGGCTCATTTGACTTGTTAGATTTGTTATTTTTCGGCTGGGATTTTGATTTCGTAGGGGGGGGTATTTCTTCGTCTTCTGCTTCGGAAAGCTCTGATGGGTCTGGTGTTGGGCTTGTTCGTCCCTTGTGGCGATTGGATGCTGTACCCGCGTTGGTGGCCGCTGAATGATGTCCAGATGCCTCTTTCGACTTGTTAGCTTTGTTGTTGGTGTTAACACTAGGCCTCTGGGCCCGTCGCTCGTTGGGGAGGAAGTCTGGTGGGTCTGGTGCTGCATTGCCCAGAACCAATATTTGGCCCCACATCAGTGCTTGATTTGGACCTGATTTGATTGATCAGTGTTGATTTACTGACTTGAGTTTCTTGCCCTTTTGCTATTAACTGGACTATCCTCTTCATCTTCGATATCGGAGAGAGCTGTCAAGATTTCATAACATAAGTCGACATTAACTTGAGATTGCTTATTGGCCCGGCTTACCACTAGGACGTTTCAGACGTAAATTGGAACGGTCGGCAGGGTTTCCATGTGGAGCATCACGTGTCAAGTCTACAAAGTCGATGACTTCTATTTCGTTGGAAAGCCCAGAGGTCTCTGCGTCTTGAATTCGTGAGCCCAATCTTGAACAAAACATGTCGATGGCTTTGTGGTGGCTCGCCAGTGTCTCGTAGGCACTCGGGGTTTTGATGTTGTAGCCGGGGGTACGCAAGTCTTGCATTGATCTGGCTAGGTTATCTCTCGTACGACTCCCTGGATCGTATGGTTCAAAGCTAGGGTTAGCTCGACTGCACATGTGGAATTATGGCCTGCATGAACGTCTCTTACATATCGCTAGCATGCCCTTCATCTCGTCAAGGGAAGCCTTGGCAAGACTAGGAATGCCCAAAGCCCCCCCGATGGTTGTGGTGGTCGATGGCATTCTTGTCATTTGCCTTTTCTGGTGAGGGGTGATGTGACTAGCCGATAAGTCTTTCGGATAAGCTTTCGTGATGGGATTGACACCTTTTTCGTTTGAACGATGAGCTGGCTGAGGATTCGAGTTGCCCTTGGGCAAAGACCCACCGCCGATGTGTCGGTTTGGATTGGTTGAATTGGTCGTCCTGGCGTTGCGACCTGGGGGGTTTTTGGACTTGCTGGAAGTGGCCATCCTCCCAAATTGAACTGGGACGTCTGGGTTATACATCACATCGGGGTAGTCGTTTAACACAAGTCTGAATTGTTCGAGGTTCATCAACTCACCATTGGCGACCTCCTGCAAACATGCCCACATCATTGGGTGATTGGATGGTCAGAATTGTCATCATTCGAGAAGTGGGGATTTCCTGTGATGCTCTTACTCACGAATGAGTCCATGTCTTCTTCTCCTGGGTCCTCAGGGTCCCCTTGTCGTTGGCCTTCTTTGTCAGTGGACTCTTCATCACTGCCAAATTCTTTCCCGAGGTCCTTCAACGAGGGCTGGTCTCGACTAGGGCTGCTTTCATCATCAGTCGAATTGATCGTCATGTGCTGTCGGTGTTGACTTCCAATGGTTCTGGGCTTGCTTTGCTTGCTTTGAGCTCGGGTCACCTGTTGACGGTTTGTATGGCATAAATGTGGGTCATCGGTGAAGGGTAATGTCACCAACTAATTATGGTTCGGGATAAATGGCTCTCTTACGTTTTGGGTCAAGACCTTTCGAACATGTTGATTAACTTCGCTGTCATCAGATTGGTCTTCGCCTTCGCTGGCTTCGTCCCCTGACAAGCCTGGGTCGAGTCGGATGCTCGCTCGTCCCGTGGTCCTATACTCCTCTGCGGTTGGCGCTTGTTTGGACTTCTTAGCTGTTTGCTGAGCCTATCATGAAGGTTGGACAGACATCAACATTGCTCTCACTATCGGTTAGAGTTAAGCGGACTTGTGTACATGTGACCCTTACTTTTTTGGCTATTTGAACGACGGGTACCCTGGCTGACCGCCTTTTGGGAACTTCGGTCCATGGGTTGGTTTGTTCAACAGGTTTCTTGGTGGGAAGTGGGAGAGGGGGCCTTCCTCCAGCCTGCAGTCGAATTGAGTTTCAGCTTGGGTTGAGTTAGGGTCAAGGGTTATTGGGTGGATGGGGTTGGACTACTTACGGTTGTTGAAACTTGTTGGCCGGCCTTTTTTTTGGTCATGACCTCCGTTACAATTCCAAATCCTGGGATGTTGAATCGTCTCGGCGGCGTCGGGGCTGGAGATGTCACATTCTGGAGGCTGGACAACGGCATTGCTGAGTTTCGAGATTGATCCCCCTCCGGAGGACTTTGGTCTGTGATATCGGCGAGGCTGTTCGTTCGAGGGTTGGTCATACTATCAAAATAGCCCTGGATTGATCTGGTTAGCCACTTGGTGGTGTTCATTCTATCCTCAGGGTTGATTTGTTGACAGGTGTAATGGCTCACGATTCTCTTACTTTGAGGGTAAAGGTTATGTATGATTCGGACTATCAGGTACGAGAGGTGTTTGTGTTGGGATTAGAGGGTAGAAGTCTGGCTGCTTGAGAGGACGATCAGAGTGAGGAGCTCACTCAGGCGGATAAATATCAGAAGTTTAGCGGTTTTATTGGATTGAGGGGGAAGTCTGGCGCTGGGGAGGTCGAACAGAGTGATAATCTCAGGCAGATAAGATGGAAGAGAATTTTTTTGATTTTTCTGGTTTTGATTTGGGAGGGTATTTATTCAGACGGGTGGGGATTGAAGTGAATCGTTTCGACGTTTTTGATTGTAGTCAGGCGCTGGGGAGGTCGAACAGAGTGAGAATCTCAGGCAGGTAAGATGGAAGAGAATTTTTTTGATTTTTCTGGTTTTGATTTTGGCTGGTATTTATTCGGACGGGTGGGGATTGAAGTGAATCGTTTCGATGTTTTTGATGGTGACTGACTGAGGGGAAGGTCGTTTTGGTTGTTGGTCAGGGCTAACCCTGCTCAGTAAGTGAGTATGAACTGTTATTACATACTCTATTCTATGCGTTTAGGTCAAAACTCTACTGCTGCGGGCTCACTTGACAGTCGCTCAGCAGCCGCAGGCGCTCTGCTTGCTGACACTTGTCCGCTCCGCTTGCAGAGACTGGATTTTGTGCTCCAGTCTATCACTTCCCGACTGACCGACATGCCCACAGGTATGGAATTATCTCGGTCTCATTGGACTACAACTCGATTGGCTGTTACACAGAGTTGATTTGCTGACCTTTGGTTTTTATTTATTCTTGCCTGACCGTCATGCCCAATTCTACGGGATCTTGTCACGTTGGCCTGCGGATCGATCGGCTTATGCTGACCATTTGCTTTTATTTGGGGTTTTGGTTTACGGACCACGAGAACACCCAACCAAATAATATTTCCTTTATCTACTCTAGTCCTATGTCCTCCTGTGGGGGATTTACTGTCTGCGAGCCATATTCCTAACCGTGGTTATTTTTTCTATTTCTATTCTTTCCCCTTGGCACGTATTCCTGTCAGTGAGTGAGGTCTTTCATGTGAACAGTTTATCTATTTATCTACGCTCGTTTTTCTTCACCGCCGGCATCTGACCTGGATTTCTCCTTTGCTTATAGTGTGCATTCGCGTGATTCAAGTCTTTCACGCGAATACCCTTCTGGACCTAACCAAACATGTGTATCTTCTGTCTCGGCCACTGAGCGTTGTTTTGGTCTCGGTAGACTGTTTCTATTGGAGTGAATGGCGTCATTCAGGACAGTACCTTGCTGTTTCGATGCAACCAAACGACCTCACAAGGTTTCTTCTTGACCTGCCACTGTCGTTTTTTTTTTTTTTTTTTTTTTTTTTTTTTTTCTCGGCTGATAGTGTGTAATCCAGTGATTCATGTCTGTCACGAACCTTGTTTTTGTTCGAAACTGCCTGGCCAAGGTTTGTGCTGCACCAGCCACTGCCCTGGATTTTTCCTCGGCTGACTGTGTGTCTGCTCTTTGATGAGGTCAGTCAGGCGAGTAAGTCGATTTCGATCCATTCCTGCCAGTCCGGGTTTGTTCTTCACCTCCACCTGCCACTGACTTTTGTTTTTGCGATTGTGTATTCGCGTGTGTCGAGGGTTTCACGCGAGTACCTTGATTTTTAGATAGTAGACCTTTGTTTTTTCCTCGGCACACTGTGTTTATTCGATGGAACCGAGTCATTCCCGCGATTACCTCGTTTTCCGACCCAATCAAAGGGCCAGGGAAGGTTTGTTCTTCACCTCCCTCTGACCGACCTTGATTTTGTCCTCGGCGGACAGGTTGTATTCGCGTGAATCGCGTCATTCCCGCGAGTACCTTGTTTTTTTGACCCAATTAAACGGCCAGGGGCAAGGTTTGTTCTTCACCGGCACTGATCTTTGTTTTTCACATTGTGTATTCTATTCGCGTGTGTTGTGTCGTTCACGCGAGTACCTTCATTTATTGATCCAACCAATCGGCGACAGGAGGTTGGTTTTTGACTTACGACTGTGCTTTGTTTTGGACATTGTGTATTCTATTCGCGTGTGTTGTGTCGTTCACGCGAGTACCTTCATTTATTGATCCAGCCAATCGGCGGCAGGAGGTTTGTTTTTGACTTACCACTTTCCTTTGTCTTGTCCATCGCAGACAGGCTGTATTCGCGTGAGTCAAGTCATTCACGCGAATGTGTTCATAATCATTAAAGACAAGCAGGTGGGTGAGATGTTCCAGACTATCGCTTGTCGGGGCTGGCTTGGGCTCAGGGAGGGTTAGGGTTGATCTTGTCGTTCGTCTGAAGTAGTTCAGGCCAATACAACAAATTAGTCTGTATTCCATTCGAGTTGATCATGACTTTGACTTTCTCAAGTGGCACTGCCTTTGACTCAGTCCGGGTTGCAGCACCAAGTGTACGGTGCTCGTACACTGCTCTTTGTTGTCTCACCTTTATTTTTCCCTGCAAGGTAGTGCGTATTTTCGTGATTCAAGTCATGTGCTGGAGTACCTTTTCTTCAACCCTTCTCTTCATCCAGACTATCCATTCAGATCGTAGGCGACTTGTAGTCGGGTTTTCGTGATTTGACAATGATTCATTTGGTTGGGTCAAGTTATGCTATTCATTAGAGCTTTAACATTCACAACGTGGCCTAATCGGTCTGGGCACCGTTTTGACATTTTGACGTATCAGGCAGGTACTCAAGCCATACTCATTGGTTGGGCCCAAGAGATAATGTAAAGGGCAACTCAACTCGCCTTCGGTTTTTGTTTTTGTCCGGTTCTGGATAGGACTCATGTTACATGTTAATCATGTGTTTCACCAGATTAACCTGGTCCAAGGGTTATGGTTCTGGGTTTCGATTTATCCTATTGGTAGCATTTTGGCGTGGGTAGGCTTCTTCCTTCATTCATATGTGTCAGTCGAGTCGATTGACAGCTTGTCAGTGGTTGGTTGACTGCTGCTGCGGTGGGTTGTTGTACCAATTTGATAAATTCAATTTGCGGCAGGACTTGACGACAAATTGGGGCCTAGAAGCTTGGTTTGGCTGAATCGAAATTCCAAAAGTGTTCACTTAGTAATCGAAGGATATTATAAGATCACTTCTTGTAATAGTTTGACTCATCTCTAACAGGCCATTTCTTTGTCAGATTGTACGAAATATCAAGCAAGGAAAGGGAGGAACTTGAGGCCAAACCTTGACACTTACTGTCTTCTATTTCGGTGAGGTGAAGAAGCTCAGGCTGATTACCTCAATAGTGTTACTGACTGGCCTTGTCTTCTTCATCAGATAATCGATCCAATCATTTGTTTTCTGTGTGTATGTAATCGATTCTTATGATAAGATATAATGCCTTGGTTTCTTGGTTCTTTTATTGGTTTGACACTGGACTAACAGACCTTTTCTTTGGGAACTTGTTTCTTACAGTCTCCATTCCGGTGAGCTGAGGTTGCAAGCTATGGCTGTTTACTTTGAAAGTTTAACTGAGTCTTATACTTGGATCAATCCAGAATCACCAACTGCTCCATTGATTCCTGTTTAGTAATCGACTTGGATTGTAAGATCAACGGTCATCATTTCTTGGTTCTTTTAAGAATTGGACACCCACTAACTGGCCATTTCTTTGTGGAGGATGCTCTGGCTGTTTGCCTTGATGGTTTTACTGACTGGCCATTACTCCATTACTCTTTCCTCTTTGAATTCAGATCGATCCTCATTCCTCAATTGCTGCTTGACCCTCACCTGCTGGATTGTTTACTGTCTGTAATCGAATTGAATCATAAGATCTAATGACATGGGTTCTGGGTTCTTTTAATAGTTTGACACTGACTATCGGGTCTACCACTTCTTGGTCATGTTGTAGCAGAACTCAAGGACAGGGAGGAAGACTTGAGAGATCGATCCACATTCTTCAGGTGCTTGATCCTCACGGTATGAAACCCAATTGCATGACAAGATCTAATGTCATGTTTTCTGAGCTCTTTTGATGGTTGGACACGGACTATCGGGTCTGCCATTTCTTTGTCAGGTTGTTGGAGAATTCGACTGAAGGGAGGACTGCTTGAGGGCTTCAGGGACCCTGATACTGACACTCTCGATTTTGAAGAGGTGAGCAAGCTTGGCCTGTTTGCATGGGTAGTTTTGGTAACAGCCCATTACTTGTTAATTTCAGATCTATTGAGAATCCTAAGGGCTTGTCCTAGGGTTGATCCGTTGGTTTAGTAATTGAATTTGATTATAACATCGGGGCACCTAGTAAGATAGATCTCTTCTGACTTGTTTGACTAGTTTTAAAACTGTCTGACTAACTCTACTTTGTTTTTGTTTGTCAGATTGAACGTATTTCAGGTTGGGTTAGGGTGTCGGCAGAACTTGTGGGCTACACCTGGAGGCTTAATTCAAAGTATCATCAGGTTGTGGGTTACGGTTAGTACACCACTTTAGAGATCCTGCCCCATTGTATCCTCATCTCTTCTTTTCATTAGTTTGACATCCAACTCACTGGCTTTTGGGGTTACAGTTCAGATTGAACGGATATTCTGGTTTCATAGGGCCCTAAACTGCCTCCATTTTGGTGAGGTTGCTCTGTCGGGCAGTATGCTTTGGTGGTTTAACTGACTAGCCACTCCTCTTGTATTTGGATCATTCGATATGGCTGAAGAGGTTTGCTTAGTTTATTGTAAGCCCATGAGTTCTCATATTCTCATTGATTCATACTTGATTGACTATCTTGACAACTGGCTAACCTTGTCTTTTCTTTGTAATTGTTGAATATGAGGTTAAAAAAAGGGCCCTCTCTCTAGGCGCTTTTGTCTGAACCGAATATAGTTATTCCCTCTGTTTATCTTTGAATATGGACCAAGATTCCTCTCAACATATCTGCAACAGAACCGGTTGCACTCAAGCCTTCTCCAGCAAGAAGCAACTCAAGAAGCACCAGAGAACGGTCCACCAGCTGCAAGTTACCTGCAAGGTCTATGGACAGGAGACTCGAGTGACCCTGGACAGACAAGAAGATGAAGCTTTCAGATGCCCAACAGAAGGTTGTGAGGAAGAGTCTGAAGATCCTGTTCGAATCCAAAAACACGTGAAGAAATGTGATCCTTCGAGGTTCCAACAAGCTAGGGTCATGCCAGTTCCGCCGAGTGACTATGTTCATCTTGTACCAGCAGGAGATCAATTGATTGGTAAGTCCTGATAATTCTTACCTCTGTGTTGCCCCTGTGCTCATTTATTTCTGTGATTTGATCAATGAAAAGACATACCTGATTACCCTAATTTGGCTTATAATAAATATGCCAACATCCTTCTCTGCACTCGTTGTCATATTGGCGTCCCCACAAACGAGGTCGAAACCCTAACAGCAGGAGCGCCTGGAATGAGCCCTCATTCCTCAGACCCCTCAGACCCCTCTCTTGGTGGAGGGTCTGAGGGGTCTGAGGAATGAGCAAGTGAGTCACTTTATTGACTGAAAAAGGGCAGAATTTGGCCTGTTGAAAGGCTGAATGACATTGAATGAGCAAGGCCGTTGGATGAATCTTGTATAATATGACAATTCCTACTATGTGAGTGTTACGTGTATTGTAGTGTGTATTTTTAAGTCATGTATAGCTATTCCTACCGGGCGTGTATAACTTGTAATGTAGCGTGTATTTTATTTATTACAAGATGGTTAAATGTAAGCAGTCAGAGGACTATTGTTCAGGTTGTTCAGCTTGCTCAGATGGGCTGTTCTTATAAGCAATGTCAAATAATTCTGCATAGCTCTTCTTGATTTTCTCATACTCCTCTGACAACTTGTTGTACTCTTCCTCACGCTCCTTGACAGCCCATTCCCTCAAAGCCAGCCTGGTCCTGAGTTCCATTATATTCTGGTACAATGTCTCAATCAATGTTGTACCTGTGCAGGAAAGGTGAATACAAAGATGTCAGTGCAGGCAAAGTGTCAGCAGAGTGAGAGTGGAAAAAAGACAGCTCACGTGATTGAAAGCTGCACCTCACTCTATAATCCTGGCATCTCTTGCAATTGCCAGACAAGGGAATGATCTCACAAGTCCCTTCCATATTGTGCTCTCTGCAAAAATCACAGCCGTACTTTAAGGCAGTAGGGGATGTTAGTGAATGAGTGTGATGCCTTAATCTCACAGAGAACAAATGAGCCACTTACAATGTTTACCATTTTAATAACAAAGGGTTGTAGTTGTTGGTTGTAGTTGTTGTTGGTTGTTGTTGATGTTGGTGAGGAGTGTGGAGTGTGTTGGTGGTTGTTGTTTTGGTTGCTGATGGGGGGGGAAACAGTCAGAGAAGGCACCTCTTAAATAGAGGTGCCTTTGACTGAGCAAGGCCAAAAAAAGCCCTGGGCACTGGCCATACTCAGTCCCCAGGGCATGTGTCATGAGGGGCTGAGTAACCCCAGGAGACAGCCTTGGCAGTCTCCTCTTGGCAGTCTCCTGTTTGCCAAGGGGCTTGTCTCTCAGCCCCATGGGTGAAGGGGCTCTTGGGAATCTGCCAATGTACTTGGCAGATTCCCAGGAGACAGGAAAAAAATCCCTCTCAGGCTGAGATGATGCCAGAATGAGAAGCATCCTCCCAGGACACTTGCCAAGCGTCGATTCGCGCGAATCGACGCCAGGGTGACAGGGTTGTACAGCCCCTTCCAGGGGCTGTACAACCCTGGGAGGATGCCAAGTCGCTAGACAACCTCCCAGAACATTGCCCTGCAGATAGTTCGATCTGCAAGCCTTGGCAGGAGAGGCATATAGTTGAGTC